GCTGTCTAAAGATGGTGAACCTCTGTTCAGTGCCTGTGACTGTGGGGCCGGTGGGTTGGGGCAGGCCAGCTTTGGGGTGGGAATAGGGAGAGGGGGCCTGGGAGGGCCCTGGGCTGGCTTTGGTGGTCCTGGCAGCACCCATGAGGAGGGCCTCTCCAGCTTAGCAAGAGCCAGGTCAGGGTGCCCCAGATTGCAGGGGCCATGGGTAGACATCCTGGTGGGGGTCACTTCAGCGCAGACCCACTGTATTAGGGTAGTGATTATATTGGGGGGTCTCCACTTCAGAGATAGCAGGAGAGAAGGTTGCCTCATCACCAGACTGGCCTCATGGGAAGGTCTGTACCCTTGGGCCAGTGGTTCTCCCTGCAGGGAGTCGCCTCCATCCTATCCCTGAAGCGCTGGGCTGCTGCTGCCTGCTGTAGTGTCAGGTCAGAGGGTCCTGTCCATGTCCTGGTCCAGCCCTTGGCAGACCTCATATTTGGGTCACTTCCTACAGAAGCTGCCACCCCTGAGTGATGGCCCACCATCTCCCACAGGGCACATGCTATGTGACCCAGAGTGTCACCTTGGTCGGGCCAGGCATGGCTCCATGCCTTCTGCTGACCTCAGGAAGTGCTCTGTCCCAACCCCCAAAAACCAGGCTGCTCTCAGTCCTCTGGTTTTTATTTGCCTGATCCCCATAGAGCCCATACCCTGGGGGCTGAGGAGGGAGTGAGTCCAGGGGATACACAGGAGAGGCGTAGAAAGTGGGGGTGCTGGGGCTGGGCAGCCGGCACCTGAGGGGGGATGAGTGAGGGAGAGACCAGAGGGAGCTGGCCAGGCATGGGGTCAGCAGGCAGAGCAGGCTTCTGGGGCCCCTGCCTTGGCCCATCAGCGTCCCCTTGCAGCTGTGCTGCCAGGCAGGAGGCTGCACCGGCAAAGGCGGGGCTTGTCCTTTCCAAGGAAGCCTGGCTGGTGGGCAGCGTTCTCTGGAAGGGTGGCCTGGATTAGGGGCTCTTGAAAGGTGGCAGGTGTCCGTGGCCCCTGGCAGGTGGGACGCACTGCCCACGCCGCTCCTCAGCTGGGGCTCAGTGCTGGGCTGCCCTCGGGACTGTCGCTCACCAGGCACTCGTTGGATTTGAAGCTCGCCAGGGACTTGCAGCTGGGGATGGAGGCCAGAGAGCCGCAGAGGCCCAGCATGGAGGGCGTGGGGTCCTTCCCTGGGGAGAGAGGCCAGGTGAGGCTGGGCCAGCCAGTCTGTGGTGTGTGTGTGGGGGGAGGGAGTGGGCAGTGAGGAGGCAGCCCTCAGGTGGCCCCAGGAGACTTTCTTGGTCCCTCCTAGAGCCTTTGCCTTTTTCACTTAAGCCTGGATTAAGCAGCTGCCGTGCCATGCACTGCTGGGGACACTCTTGTAACCGTCCGTTTGTGTCTCTGTCTCCCCCTGAGCTTCATCCTCTCTTTTTGTCCATTTATTAACCACGCAGTGAGCACTTGCTCTGTTCCAAGCACTGGGGGTACAGAGAACGGGCAAGACACGGTCCCTGCCCCCGAGGAGCTCACAGTCTGATGGGGGAGACAGACACACAGACAATCACAAACAGTGTGGCGGGGTACATGTCCGGGGCCTGCTTTGTCTCGAGGAGATCTAGGGTCATCCGACTCGGTGTGGTTATAAAAAGAGACGGGAAATGCAGGTGCAGGGAGAACTAGGTGGTGAAGCCAAGGGAGAGGCCAACACAAAATGCATGCGTTGAAGTCCTGGGCATTCGCTCGAAGGGAGCCACTAATTAGGCTCCGAGCTTCCTGGCAGCCAAAGAAAAGGGGGGAAACAACGGTCAGGCAAGCAGTTCACAGTGGGCGTGAGAAGAGCAGGTCAGGCCGAAGGGGGAGGCTCCCCGAAGTTTCTGAGCCCCTTGGCGTCATTTATCAAAAAGCTATCGAGCCCTCGCCAGATGCTGCAGCATCCCATTTTAGAGATGAGGATGGAGCTCAGTGCCACGAGCCAGGCTCTCAACAGCAGGGATGGCAGCCAGGGTCAGCCCTGGGCTCTTCCTGACACCACGAACTGCACTTGGAATTGCTGTGGTAAGCTCTCAGGAAGGGCTGAGAGAGTGAGGAAATTGGCCAGGACTTCACTACAGGTCCCAGGGCCTTGCCTCATCCCTTCCTGGAGGGGTGCCGGGTTGGGGGCACTTACCAATGGGGCCCCAGGGCTCCTCGTCCCGCTTGCCCTCTCCCAGGCGCTGGGAGTCTGAGCTCAGACTGGCCTCGGCTGACAGCGGCTCCGTGCTCATGAAGCTGTGTCTGGGGCAGAGCAGAGCTGGTGTACGGCTCTCCGGAGCCCCGGGGCCCCTCGTCCCTGGGGACCAGCACTGGCCAGGCTGGGCTGGGGCTTACCTCCGGTAGAGCTTGGAGTTGGCGCCCTCAGCCCCATGGAGCGTTCCCAGTGAGGGCCATTGGTTGACCAGGGGCGTGGTGAGCTCCTTGGAACCCTGGACCAAGGGGGCGTGGTCGCCAGGGATCAGACCTGTCCTGGGAGGGGGAGGGGGGATCAGGCCTGGCTGGGAGAGGGGGCAGAAGTGGGGAAGGGAGACTCAGCAAGGGGTGGGCAGTGGGATTAGGAGTGAAACCCAACTAGCAGAAAAGGGGAAGCAAAGCTGGGGCCAGTAGGGCAGATCCCCGAGGGGGGGTAGGGGTAAAGGGGTGAAGGGGATGAATGCACTAATGTTGGGAGTTCGCGCTGTGTCAGTTGAGGTGATGTTGGGGGCAGGGTCAGTGAAGAATACTGGGAGTCCCTGAACAGTAATGCGGAATCGGGGTGGGTGGGGGGTCGTGCTAGAAGGTCAGGATGATTAAATGTTTTGCGGAAGAAATGTTACAAAAATCGGAGGAGGTGAGTTGGAGGGCTCCGTGCGGGCACATAGTGCAGATCACTGGGTAATGCCAGGCCAGCCGCTCTGTGAGGAGCGCTGGGGGTCCCTGCGGTGGTGTTGGATGGGCACTAGCTGACGTCGGGTAATTGGGGGTGAAGTGGGGACCTGGGTACTGGAGACCGCTGGCCCCTAGATGGAGGATGTTAGGTCAGGTCGTTGCGGGGACCTTGGGCTGGAAGTGACCACACCAGTGGGTTCATGTCGGCGAGGTAGGTGATGTTAGGATCAGTGGGGGTGATGATGGGGTTCACCGAGGTGATGTGAGCGGGGTGGCTGGGTGTTCAGGAGGGCCAGGGCGGGCGGCGGCGCTCACAGCTGCTCCTGCAGCTCCAGGATCACGCCTTCCAGCTCCCGCTTCTCGCGCTGGTTCTGCGCAGCCGCTTCCTCCAGCTGCAGCTGCAGCCCCCGGTTCTCCGTGTCGTGCAGCTGCGCCTCGCGCAGACGCACCAGCTCCTCCAGGTAGCCCTGCGGGGCTCCGACTCAGCGCGGGCGGAGGAAGGTGCCGGGGCGGGGGTGGGGGTGTCCCAGCTGCGGCCCGGGCCCGCGGTGCGCTATGGGCCCCGCCCAGCTCCCTGCGCCCCCAACCGCCCAGCGCGCACCTTCTGCGCATAGACGATGCGGAACTTCTGCTCCATCTTGTGCCATTTGCTGTACCAGCTGTCCTCGTCGGTGACGAGCGGCAGGTACGGGTGCTCGGGCGAGTTGTCCTCGCTCGTGCTGCTCT